TCCTCATGTTGTGGTGACCCCCAACCATAAAATTATTTTCGTTGCTACTTTATAACTGTAATTTTGCTACTGTTATGAATCGTAATGTAAATATCTGATATGCGGGATGTATTTTCATTGTTACAAATTGAACATAATTAAAGCATAGTGATTAATCACAAAAATATGTAATTATATATGTGTTTTCCGATGGTCTTAGGCTACCCCTGTGAAAGGGTCGTTCGACCCCCAAAGGGGTCACGACCCACAGGTTGAGAACCGCTGGTCTAAATCCTTTCTGTAAACTCTCTCTTGGTCTTCCCATATGCTAAGGGAAGTGATCTACCCTTTTATTTTCTGTATCTCCTGTTTTGGGGGGTGTGGTTTTCAATCACGACAACTCAGGTAACATCAGATTAGGAAGAGCAAATGAAAAATAACAGACTAGTTAAAGGTAATCAGAATGAACTAGTGAAATGATCCTGGTTTTTATTATAACAATCCACTCTCATTCTTAGCTTTATAAATCATCTGCCCTCAGCATAAACCAGTGGGTAAATCTCATGTTTCCATTTTAATGATGCCTAAGATTTTTAATATGACAGTGTTTCCATCTCTAAAAAACACGTTTCAAAAGTAGTAGGGAGTGGAGAGTGACTCCTCTGTCCTTGCCGTTTGGACATAAAAGGCATGAAAGATAGACTTTACCAATAAAAAGAGTTTTAAGAGATTCCTTTAACTATTTTTATTTCGAAATGTAACAAGCAGATTTTTGTGCAATTCCCCTTAGGCACAGACTGTGTCAGTGGAGAGACCAGAAACCATGTGTCTATTAACTGGAGGAGCCCCCACCCCAATGTCTGTGAGCATCCAGGGAAGGACTGCTGGGAGAAAAGGAGGCAGGACAGACTCTGATAAACAAGCAGGCAAACAAATTAATCATGCAACTTAGACATGTCTGAACTTGGGCAGTGAATCTGAGAGGCCGACTATGTGTGAGGGGGTCATGCTTAACTGCCACAATCACCAGCTCTGATCACCCCCAGCATTTCATAAAACTTTCTAGAAGCTGCTGTGGTAGCAGAGATACCTCTGGTGTACCCAGGCTCCCTGCTCAGTCTGGGTTGTGGTTACTGTGGTGTTCGAAGTTCAGGAGATAGGAGCCACTTACTGACTCACCTGGTCTCCTAGGTGAGAGGTGCAGGGCAGGTGGAGTTGTGCTCCCCAGATAACATAAGCGCCCAGGGCAGAATCCCGGGGAACTTGCCACCAAGTCACTCCACTGCTGCAGTGCACATGCTGCCTTGCTCCATGCATGTCCCTGTTCTGCCCAGCGTCTTCACACCAGGCAGAGTTCTCCCATCCACTAAACCCCTTCCTTTATCCCACTAATCAGCTCAGGGTCCCCCCGCCCCTCCTTTTACCTGAACAGAGGAGCTACAGGGTCAGCTTGCACAGGCGACCCGAGTGCATCAAGAGGAGACAGAGAAATTTACACACAAGACCCAAAAGGTAAATATGTCACGTGGATTTCAGCACAACCATGTCTCAGACCACAGAGCCCCTCCAGAGAGATGACAAGATATGTGTTTTTTTTAATGTTTTTATTGAATTTTTACAGATAGGAAGGGAGAGGGATAGAGAGCTAGAAACATCAGTGAGAGAGAGACATAGATCAGCTGCCTCCCGCACACCCCCAACTGGGGATGTGCCTGCAACCAAGGTACATGCCCTTGACCAGAATCGAACCTGGGACCCTGCAGTCCGCAGGCCGATGCTCTATCCACTGAGCCAGACCAGTTAGAGTGGCAAGATATGTTTTAAAAGAACGCTGTCTGACCTCATGGGCTGGAGGTCATATGGAAAGGTCATCCAGTCCCGCACCCCACTCAGACACTCATAAAGATAACTGTCTTCCTTTCTGTTCTAAAATACGCTTTTCAATATTTACAGTATGGTCTCAGGGTGTTCTTAATATCTAATCTAAATTTCCCTTCATCCAGAACCAGCAAAGTAAAGTAAAATAAGGGCCCTAATGCAACTGGACATGAATGTGTGTCCAACAACTTTGGTGAGATGTCCCCCAACACCCCCAGGGCAGAGGAGCCTCTGCGCCTCAGGAAGTGCGGGAAGTTGTGGGACAGCGGAGGCCTGGAGGCCTGGAGGCCTGGAGGCCTCGGGCAGTGGAGGAGAGGTCAGAGGGTGAACCAGGAAGGGGCATTCCCAGGAGGCTGCAGATGAAAGGATAGCTCACCCTAAATCGTCTTCAGAAAACGTTCATTAATTGAGCTGTGGCTTCATTAGCTCTTCTAGCTATTTTAGAATAAATTGTTACTGGCTAATTATCCTTTACCCATTAGATCCTCTCCCAGGGCGCCCAGAAGGAAGGATTCGCAGACACAGGCACTCCTTGCCCGGGGCCTCCCTGAGGACTGCCCAGTCCCTGCTGCCACCTCAAATCTGTAAACAGATATGTGGGCTCAGAATCGCCTTTGCTGCTTCCCCCGCCCCCCTTTGTATTCTCAAAATATACTTATATTTTTATTTTTATTTTCTATTGGGAAAGATACTTGTACTTAAAAAAAAAAACACAAAACAAAAAAACAGTTGGTCTTGACCAGGGCACTGCGATATTGTAAAATGCATGTCTAAGGTATCCAAGAATTTAACTCATGGGCCCCCACGTTGTCCATGGTCCTGCTCATCTAAGTAGGTCAAACCTGATTAAGGGAGCTCCGCCTCTGCACCTCTCGGCTTAGGGAGAGCAAAGCTGAGTGCTGAGATCTAAGTGCTCTGCCAACCTCCAGCAGCAGACGCACAGCCCTTTTAAAAGTTTCACTGATAGGTCCAGTGTCACATATTATTACAAAAGGAAAATAGTTTCATATTACCCAAAAAGGAAAATTCCTCCGTAATTAACCTTTTTTTTTTTTTGCATTCCACCAAAAATCCTGTTTGAAAATGAGTTTATTCCTGGAGATGCTGCTGGCCGAGTGGCAGGGTCCCAGGTGCTTCTAGTGCTTGTATTCGGGGTAAAGGAGTGTGTGGAAGAGGCTCCCAGACCTTGGCCCCAGGTGGTGTGGTGCCATCCAGGCTTGTTCTGAGGGGAAGGGAAGGAAAGGGGTCCCCTAGCACACCCCAGGACAGAGCAGCCACTCTGCGCCTGGGGAAGTGCGTGGAGGCTGGAACAGCGGAGGCTGCAGGGCAGGGGAGGAGAGGTCAGAGAGAGTGGGCCAGGAAGGGGCATTTCCAGGAGAGACTTAAGACAGCGGTTCTCAACCTGTGGATCGTGACCGCTTTGGTGGTCGAACGACCCTTTCACAGGGTTCGCCTAAGACCATCCTGCATATCAGATATTTACATTACGATTCATAACAGTAGCAACATTACAGTTATGAAGTAGCAACAAAAAAAATTTTATGGTTGGGTCACAACATGAGGAACTGTATTTAAAGGGCCAGAAGGTTGAGAACCACTGGACTAAGAGAACACCCCCCAGTGCTGCATCTCCTCTTCCTAACTCCCCATCGCCTCTGGAGTTGTAACTGCCAAGAGCTAGGCGCTCTGCACAGCATTTCCTGTTAACCGTTTTGTAACTGAGGACGTAGAAACTACCAGAGGCAGTTAATGGCCTAATGTAAGTTGAGAGCTGGATTTCCAGTACAGTAGGCTGCCCCTTATCCACTCTGTGCTGTCCTTGTGTCCGGACAGAGGAGAGAACAAGGGTGGGACTCAGGGCAGCTGAGCTGCTGAATTGAATCCGCTAGAAGTGCAAACAAATCTGGTGCTAGGACAGTAGCCATGCAGTCATTGCCCAGACCAGGGACCTCCCTAGAGCTGCCTCTGCTCTTCACTGGCCTTCAGCACAGCCACATTCATCGGCCCAGGCAGTGGTAGTCATATTTCCATGGTTTCCACACGCTAACCTAGTACTTTAGGAAAACAAACAAAACCCACTGCCTTGGTTTTTGGTGCAGGAGGGAGTGTTAAATTAGGAGAGGACAGCTGATAATGATCCTAATCCTTTTTTTACCCCACTTCAGCTACTGTAGGTATTCCTTTTTAAAATATATATATATTTCTTTATTGATCTCAGAGAGGAAGGGAGAGGGAGAGAGAGATAGAAACATCAATGATGAGAGAGAATCATGGATCAGGTGCCTCCTGCACTCCCCCCATTGGGGATCAAGCCCACACCCGGGCATGTGCCCCTGGCTGGAATAGAACCTGGGACCCTTCATTCTACAGGCTGACACTCTATCCACTGAGCCAAACCAGCTAGGGCAGACTGTAGGTATTCTTGTGCCCTTGTCTGTAAGATTAAGATTTTATTCATACCCTTTTGCTTAGTCATTATTGACATAGAGATGGAAAACATTTCTTTTTAGCAGAGCTTTTATTTCCTTAAGATTTACCCACATGTAATAGGAATGTGAAATCCTAAGCGTGAAAGTGGATGTAGGTTATGGACATGCTTCCCTGTTTGCTCACTACCATGAGTAGAGTAATTCATGTTTGGAAAGAGCGTCTGGAGGCCCCAGCTCTCCTTCGCAGGCTCCCTCTTCTTCGCTTGCTGTTCTCCGTCAGGGGCTGGGGGTTGGGAGGGGTCAGAGGGCCCAGGAATTCAAGGGGAAGGATTCCTACTTCTTTCCCCTTCACAGTTGCAGTGTGCCTTTGTGTGCAAGCCCAGGTTCAGGGGCAGGTGGAATCTGCACTTAAGTGAGCTATAGCCAAGCATCCAAGAAATAATTTTCCTGAAGGCATCCCGAAGCATCTAAAAACACCAGGGGAGACTTGACCATGAGAAATTATAATACCTTACCTTGAAATAGCACTTTCTTCTAAATCAGAAAACTCAGAATGTTTTATAAATAGTGAACGTCTCAAGGAGTTCACCAAACTTCTGTTGGTTTCTGTTTCAGGCACCATATGCAAATTGGTATGGATTGAATGGCAGTTAGTTTGGTTTGGGTGGCACATGGGGATTGCTGCTTGTCACACTCCCTTTTCTTGGGTTCCAGATGGAGGAGGATCACCTCTACGCGCTGAGGTGGAAGGAACTGGAGATGCACAGCCTGGCTCTGCAGGGCGCCCTCCCAGAGCGGACCTGGAGTGACGAGAGGAATCTTGTGCAGCAGGAGCTCCGGTCCTTGAAGCAGAACATTTTCCTTTTCTACGTCAAACTCAGGTGGCTGCTGAAGCACTGGCGACAAGGGAAACAGATGGAAGAGGAAGGAGAGGACTTCACTGAGGTACCTCCACCCGGAGAGTTCACGGGGAGCTCACTGTTATTTGCATCGGTTTTGTTCTTGACCCCCAGGCACTGCTGTGCCCCTCCCCGCAGCACACAGTCATGTTCTGTTAGTTCACATTGTTTTGTCAAGTCTGCTCCAGGCGATGGAAATGCAATGGGATGTCCAGTTATGTACCAGCCCAAGGGTTCTGTTCTGTCCTTTGACCTCGTTGCAAGAGTATATGGGTCAGTAACTCCGTTCTGCAACAGCGTTTGGCTGCCATCTCTTTTGTTGCTGATGTATAAATTTATTAAAATGATCACCCTGCCATCCCTGACTGTCTCCCTCTACCTTGCTAGTTTGTAAAACCTAGTTCTAAGTTTAAATTTTTATTCCTAAATGTCAGAGCCCATTCTGCCAGTGCAGTTTCTTCTAAGCTGCGGGTGGGTTACTTCCTTGCTGCCTCTGAAATTTGTGTGTGTTCTCCTGAGAAAGGGAACATGCGTCCATTCCAAGGTTCATAACAGAACCAGAACAGTTGTTTGTTTTCAGATGGCTCTGTATTGATTAAGCAGAGTGGCCATGAGCTCTCTGTGAGCGCGGCCTGGTATCCACACTGCTTGCCACTCTGTCAGCTGCTTCAGACACTGAGCATGTTGGTTTCCTTTTAGTCCCCAAAGACCTTGCAGCTGCTTTTCCCTCTAGTGAGCAGGGTAAGTAATTTTAAGTCATCCGATGATTGGAGAGATACAGTGATCCTCTTTCCTCAGGGTGAAGAAAGTCTTCAAAAATTAATTCAACCTGCTCCCAAATATCCATGACAGAAAACCATCACTAAGCAAAACCTAGAAGTAGTTGTAAAGTTTCGTCAATACTTTGGACTTTTTCCTCTAATTTAAAACCATAGCTGTAAGCAATAATCCTATATAATAAAAGGCTAATAGGCAAATTGACTGAACGGTGGAATGACCGGTCACTATGATGCACACTGGCCACCAGGGGGCAGATGCTCAATGCAGGAGCTTCCCCCGGGTGGTCAGTGCATTCCCACAGGGGGAGCGCCACTCAGCCAGAAGCCAGGCTCATGGCTAGCGAGCGTAGCAGCAGTGGCAGGAGCCTCTCCCACCTCCACATCAGTCAGACATCCCCCAAGGGCTCCTGGACTGTGAGAGGGCGCAGGCCGGGCTAAGGGATCCCCCACCCCCCGAGAATGCATGAATTTCATGCACTAGGCCTCTGTAGTTTATAAATAGTAAAATCTAATCTTTTCTAGTAAACTGTACTTACTAAACTGCATGCTATTTAAATGGAGAACGTGACCAGTGAGTGAAAGGACCATCATGAGCATATTAGGGGGAAGGGCTGAGAAGTAAGAGTTGATAAAGCCCATAAAATGGGTAATTATCCTCCAACCATAAAAATCAGACTGCTCAGCAAAAGGATTTGAATAAAGCTGTGAACCTCTTCTCTTGCTGTTTTCAGAGTGAGCACCCAGAGCTCTACCCCAGGCCTGGGGAGCTTGGAGTCCAGGGGGACCCAAACGGGGCCAGCCCAGACCGAGATGACGATGGTCCAGGCTGCAGCTCTTCAGTGGGGGAGCATTCTCCACGCTCCCCCGTGCAGATCGGTGACCACGGATCATGGCTCCAGCCTGCAGATGGAGGGCAGCTCCATGGGCAGGTGGGTGCCGAGTCCCAGCCCCCCGTGAGAGAGAGAAGACTCCTATCTGTGTCTGTATCATTTTCCATCATGGGCCAGTGTTCTGGGGAGCAGCAAACGTCTCTGGCGGTCTGTGGCTGCCTGTTGCTGTAATTTTGCTAGAAGTCACATCATGAAGGCTTTTAAGCTGATGTCAGCCTGTTAGTTCATTTGGCTTACACGTATAAATAAGGACCACAGGAGAGCAGATTAGCTGTGTCCCCTGAAGGCCAGCAAATGTGCCGCAGACAGAGAAAGAGAGAGCATTCTGTAGAGAGGTCTGAGGCCATATAAAAGCTGATCGTTCTTCCAAGGAACGAATACCGAGTGCCACGTGTCCAACATGGAAGGAAAAAGGAAGTCCAGAGCTTCTGTGTGGATGTACAGCTGAATGGACACTTGAAAATGGCACTGATTTGGTAATATAATGGGTAAGGAAGAAGGGACAAGTACTTTTTTGTTGTTGTTGTTAATCCTCACCTGAGGATATTTTTTCCCATTGATTTCTAGAGAGAGTGGGAGAGATGGGGAGAGAGAAACATTGATTGGCTGCCTCCCGTACATGCCCCATCCAGGGCTGGGAATCAAGCCTGCCAATGAGATGTGTGCCCTTGACTGGAATCAGACCCAAGACCCTTCAATCCACAGGCCCACACTCTGTCCACTGAGCTAAACTGGCCAGGGCTGGAACAAGTACTTTTTAAAAAATATCCCCAAACATGTAAAGTGTTTCAGGTTCTTTTGGGGCCACCTGAAATATAAAAATATTTGATGACACTTAAAAAAATTAAAGAGGTGGGATTTCAGTGTAAATATTAAGTAATTATTAGTGTTCCTAGAGGCCACATTTATTAATTATTAAACAGAGAGACCTTGCTTAGTAACCTAAAAGATACTATTGCCACCATCCAAATTTTTTGCAGTTTTATACGAAACAGCAGCCTTGGTGGGCTTGGAGTGTTGAGACCTTTCGAGGCCGGTTGTTAAAGCTTCCTCACTCCCAGACTTCCTCTTCTGAGTCTTTTTGGACCCTATGTTGCTTCTCTGAGAGTTCCATAGGACAGAGCCTGAGGCCCCAGCCCTGGACCCTGGCTCTGGGGTGAGGGGCAGGGCCGGAGTCGCTATGGGAGGGCGGGTGCAGCTGCAGCCGCTCAACCACAAGCATATTCGGGCACTCCCTCTGCAGGGACGCCACAGCTGCAGCCCCTCCCTCAGCCCTGAGCCTCAGAGGGTCAAGCGGGAGAGGCTGTGTCAGCACTTGGCCTCAGATCCAAGTGACAGAAAGTGGTGATGTGTGAGCACAGGCCTGGGGAAATGTGTCCTTTCCCCCTTACTGCTTTCTCTCCATAGACAAATAAGATTTTCACAACTGAAGAGCTGCTTCCTCTCTCTCTCTCTCTCTCTCTCTCTCTCTCTCTCTCTCTCTCTCTCTATCTCTATCTCTCTCTCTCTCTAGTTTATTGTTTGTTTAATCCAGACACATTCAAAATGGAAACTGAAAGAATACTTTTCACCTGAAACAATTAAACTAGATTCTACTAGCATAAAATACCTAACACATGACAACAGTAGAGATGATAATCATTGTCCTCTATATCTACTAAAGCAGAGATGGAAAGCCAATTTGGTTGCAGAAATGTCATAAGGATAGACTATTATCATTAAAAAATCAACAAATAACAGTAATGGTAGACAACTGTTTATACTCTGGTTCACTGGACAGGGGACAGTATGTTAAAATTCCACGGGACTGCAGGTGAACAGTCACCACGCAGACTCCTCTGTGTGGTGTTTTAATGATTTATTCCTGGTGAGCAAAGACGGAGGCTGAAAGACTTTGCTCTAATTTTCTATTACCCTGAACATTGGCCGTTACTTTTGGTGCCAAGCATTTTTCATGAGTGGCAGGACAATATCCTGGATTTCTAACAAATGCATATATTTGGGAGGGGTAAGAATTTCAAGTACTATACATTAAAAAGTATAAAAGTGTTTTAAATGGGAAAAAGAAAAATCCTTAAACCCCCAAAATGGAAACTATTAGTATCTGTGTCCCCAAAATATATGCAATAGTGTAAGACTTTCTCATGGAAGATCTCATTCAAAGGGGAAAAAAGGGGACAGATTTAATTTTACTTATATTGCCAAGTACATGAAAAACAAAATATGTGCATCATTTGCTAGTTTACTAAATAGCAAACAGTTTTCACAGTTCAGAACCAGTGTGCTACTGCGTCAAGTGCGTATTTGTTTTTACCAGGAGAAGAATGGAGATGCCTTCCAGGCGAACAAGCAGCTCTCAGTGCTCACACCAAAGAGCTGTTTTCTAGGCACCCCCACCCACCCTTCCATTTCCCCGACTAATGTGACTCAAGAAAGAGGAATTTTCAAAGGCACTTTTAATTACAGTGATTAGGAAGTTCGTCATAATGCCAGAGTCCATGGGGAGAATTTAGCTCATGAGATGAATTTTACAACAATGACTTAGAAAATAAAAAGCTTACTTTGCAAAATAATCCTTTAAAATCTGCCAGTTTTTTTTTTAAACAAATGTTATTTATTTTAATGAAGCTGGTACAGACAATGTCCACTTAAAACCCATATCCCAGGCCAAAAAGTACAAATAAACTAAAAAAGAGCAGTGTTCCTTTGTACCCACTTCTACTCAAATAACTTTATTAACTGCCAATGAAAATTAGAACTTCCTGGGATCTTCTGACAAGATTTTTCTCTACTCTTAAATGCTTTTTCTCTAGTCTTCATTCTCACCGTATCTGTCATCTTGACTCCAGCCTCACAGTCCTCTTCTTTGGGTCCAGACCGTCAGATTTTAAAAGTAGCTTCAAGTCAAGGAAAGGTCGTTTTCCATCTCCCCCTGAAAGTCATAGTCCAGGAGTGCGGCTAACACATGCTAGAACCTCGGGGCCGGGCGGCAGTCGTTATGAGCACCTGCATTGGCCAACCTTATTGATCACAAGCCTGAAGTGCACGGTCCTGGAAAAGGCGCCTCCTTGCTCACACGTGTAACATTTCAAAAGGACAGGGCAATGCGGAGGAGGCTGAGGCTTCATCACCCAAAATCAGCACAATGAAAACCAACAATAATGAAAAATGGGCCCTGGAATTCCCATTGCCAGCTGTTTAAAAGAAACAGGGTGTCAGTTTTCAACCCATTGTGAACACTACTTTACAAAAGAACTATTTTTAAAAACAAAAAAGGTTTGAGAGGAAAAAAAATAGAAAGAATATCTAAACCGTTGAATGACCCCTGTGTGTTCCTGATAAACTTCAGTCACATCTTCTTCCTCCGTTCCCAGTTCTTCGGGAGTGATTATCAGCAATCCTTTCATCTCCCCAGAGAAACCCGCATGAAGGCATTGGACTCCCAGTCTTCGACAGTATGAATCCTTCAGTGCCTTGAGATGTGTCCTCATTTTCACTTTGAAGTGAATCTCACGGCTCTCCTGTCCAAAGACTGAGTTTAATGTGTTCTCCTTCCTTCTTACCCCCATGTCCTTGTGAAGGCTTTGCCTGCTGGACAGACATGGGGATGGTGGCTTCACGGGGGTCTCCTCTGCACAGCAGTGGCCTAGGGTAGAGTGAACCTCGCCCCAGGGTTTACAAATCTGTCTCTCTTCCCTACAGCACAGCACTGTTGTGAGACCAGTTTTATTGTTTAAAAAAAGATATTGGCCACCAATACTATAAAGTATCTGTGATGAGCTCTCGAGACTAGCACCGCTAAGGATGTGTGCATTTAATATTCAATAGCATTTCTTGATTTCCATTTAGTTGAAAACCTGCTGCACTAAGATCATGTGTTGGGTGTTTCTCACATGCGCGTCCAAATGCTTTGGAGAAGAAGAAGAAAAATGTAACATCTGGTTTTCTGAACCAGAGTCATGGAAAATTTACCCCTGGGGTGAAAACTGATGCAAAGTCACTCAGCTGGAACCTCGCATTCCGTGTATTTTAATATCATCTCTCCTTTCCTCCTCTTCCAACGCTGATTCTTTAGATCTTCCCCTTCACGTGGTGAGGGACCCGTGGGTTTTTTCACTTTGTGCAGCAGAGGCACGTGGATGGGCTCCCAGGGTAGAGCCCAGATTGGGGGAATCAGCTCTGCCTTTAATGGACCCATCTCTCCATAGTCATTAAGTGCACAGTGCCATCCGCCCAAGGACAGAAGATGAGGGAGCTCCACTGTAAGCAACAGCTGGCTCCGTGAGACTTCCCTTAGAAGGGTTGCCCGCTCTTTGGTGGCCTGGGTATTAGCTGGGCAGCCTGGGTGTCTTACAGAGCTGCCGAACAGAGCCACAGCCTTTCAGAAACTCTGAGAAACCCCCCCTCCCTGCCCCCCAAGGTGATAAGCAGAATGAGCAACGAGGCTGGACTTCTTTCCCAAGGATAAACTCACAAGTAACAAAATTTCCCGGGCTTTGATCTTTAATTTGTGTCATATTGGACATTCTCCAAGTTGAACACAGTAAATGGCAACATTGATCACATACAATGAGGTAAAAAAAAAAAAAAATTACGCGTATTGAGTCAACCTTGGAAATAGATCATGAAAACCATCAGGTTGGAAAGTGGTTGGCTGTGCGAACGCTCCCTGTTGACTGGTCTTTGGCTGTGCCATCTGCAGCAGTGACCTGAGTGTCCTTGCGAACAGTAAGCTTGCCTTGTGGCAGAGCAGAGGCTGGGAGTAGGCAAGGGCATGTTAGACAGTTCTCCTTGATCTCCGGGATGCTTGCCACTTGCTGCTGTGTTAAGCTCTCGAGACTGGATGTGCGCATTTAATATTCACTAGTAATTCCTGAAATCAAGGTTTGTTTTTAAACAAGGTGACGAGTAGTGCCAGAATTATGACCCCATGTTTCCAGCAGCCAGTCTTCCAAGATGCAGATTAATTTTTTAAAAAGAGAAGTTACTTTTTTCATTCAGGGATGTGACATACTGTTCTTTATTAAAGCATCTAAGTATAAACATAAGGAATCTAATCTAAAATTAGAGCAGGATCTGATGCAGTATTGTTTCATATTAGTCCTCCAGTCTTCAGCGGGGGCTGGTCGCTGAAGAGCCTCACTCAGGACCGAGTGGATCCTGCTCCCTGGGCCTTTGTCACTGATCCAGGACTCGTGTGAAGCTCAGGGGCTGCAGGGGCTCCCCTAAAAGTAAAACTCAGCCCTTCTCCTGTAGCCAGAGCGCCTGTGGCTCCCTGAACCTCTCAGACTTCTACTCACCGGTTGCCCAGCTACCCACTTCCTGGAGGCCCCTCTTTCTGCTTTGCTCCAAATGCAGACACTTCCAGACAAGGCCTGCATGTCAGAACTGTGACATGCCCTGGCTTTCTTTCTTTTCTTTCTCTTTTTGTAGTAAGAAAACTCTCTTCTTGAGCCTCAATAGCTTTTACATTTTGATTTTGTATGTTATGCCATGGTTCATTCTTCAGGCTCTGCAACCTCATATCCTCACCTAGGAGTCATGCAACTTCATATAAAAGGAGCCAGACCAGAGCTTATGATTATGAATCACTTTATTTTTGCTGTTTACTTTTGTTTGTTTGCTTCAGTTTCTGCTGAAGGTGAAAAGTCACAGGACTGACGGGGATTTGAGGAAGGACTCTCTCTGCCCCAGTCCCACCTCCCCGGGTTAACCCGGGTGTGCAGTGTACAACATATCTTGATTTGCATCAGACCTGCCCTGGTTTCTTTGAAACCTTTGCCTGGTATCTCTGGGTTTATAACATATTTATGTCCATTGGTTCTTTCATACACCATCATTTATTCTTGGGAAGCTCTCGGTGTAAATTTTGGCCTGCAGGCACTGAGCCCTCACGGTCCGGATCACCTGGTATATTCTCAGCCAGAGGGAAAATGATTTCTTTACATAAATGAGTCTGTCATCTCTGTAAACCTCCATCAGAGATCATATTTTCACACCAGTCTTCAGTGACTCAGTTGTCTTTTATCTGTGGGGGGATAATGAGGCAAGCAAAGTAGTTGATAATAATTTAGCTCTTTCACAGAATTGTAATACACAGGTTTTAGAAATCTTAGGCAAGAATGATTTCATAAAATTGCTGGCATTACATCACTAATAGCTTGGTATGTTACCTTTTCCATAAACTTCCTTCTCACTTTCTATTAATATTTATTGTATACTTGGATAGCAGTCCTGTTAGCTGACACCTAACCTTGAACCTGTTTGAAAGTTTAACACTCTATAGCACAGTCAAGCGCCCAATGCCAGTTTTGGGATTAATTTCAGCTTCACCTAAGAGAGACGAACTCGGAAGGGCTGAAATGCCCTTAGCCTGGGGAGAGGAAATAATAGAGCCATTTTATCCTTCTTTGTGAGAAAACCAACCCGCTGATCTTAAAGAGATCGAAAAGTTGGTCTTTTTCATTGGCCTATATCTAACACACACACAGCTGAAAGGCTGCATAGCTAGTCTCAGAGCATCTTGGTTCCATTCTTGACATGATTTGGGTAATTGCTTTTCCCCAAACATAGCCCAGTAAGGGCCACCACCAGAGGAAAAGTGAGAGAAGTAACTTAGAGGTACTTTTTCACGGTGGCTCGCTATTATTATTTCCCTTGATATGGGGATAGAATTCATTTCACAGAGATTAGATGGCTTCTCTACAGCCAAGTTAGAAATACTAATAATGAAAGCCTAGGCAGGGGGTGGTGTCAGAATTCAAATATCCTCCTTGGATTGTTCAGCCTTGGAGGGGACAGACCTGATTGTAGACTGGGCCATGCACTTCCTAACAGCGAGACCTTGGCAATCTCTGCACATGGTGATTGTAACTTGGTGAATGTACCCAGGATTGATGTGCAGTGCAAGGTCATGAGGATGAATGATTTAACATACCATTACCCACGCCCATCCCCCGGCCCATTGGAAACAATATTAGTTATTGTATGTGTAAAACTAAGTTAGAAGGATCATGCCCATCAATGGCTCATCCAGGGTCTTCAGAAATTCTTACTTGGACCTCAGTTCTTGCTGTTGTGCACCAAGGCAGAGAGCTAGTGTGGCTTCTTGCCATGCCACACGCTGCTCCGGGTGATTGTAGTGACACGTACCGATAGCATGAGTCTCTGAACCCTCTTGCTGTCTTGGCCACCTTCACCCCAAAGCAATTTTGTGCTCATGTCGTGATGATTAAATTTATACTGATAAAATAGGAGGTTATGTTGATTCCTCTGACCCAGATGTACATGGAAACATTAGGCTTGATTTGCTTGTGAGAAGCACAAAGGGCTGGCCCTAGTGCTGTGTAAGCTGATTGGTGTAGATTAAGCACCCCACAGGCTGACCCCTGATGCGACCTGGTGATTATAGGGAGCGATGGATTACATAGAAAAATTTATTTATCACGTAGTTTTCTGCTTTTCTTCAGTGAAAATTAGATACTCCAAAGGCTGTATCAAAATTACTATTATTTTATGCTCAAATTACTTTGACTTAAAAAGTAGTGATATATGTAAACTTTAAAATCCAAAGATGAAAATACCAAATAAATCTACCAGAATGTATACGTAACTTCTCAGCAAATTCTGTACTTAGACTGATGTATATTTCTGAAGAGATTGTTGTAACACCTTTTCCCACTCACCTACACTTATATAATTTTTAAATACTTTTGGTATAGAATTTAAAGAAACTTCGGTATTTGTTACAATTTCACCCATTTCAAAAGCATCTCTTTGAATATAGAGCTAATTTATTTATTTCTATTTTTATACTATTGTTTATACAGACGTTCTCATCCCCCCTTTGCTCACTTCCCCCCTTCTCTCTGGCCATAGCCACACTGTTGTCTGTATCTATGGGTCATACATGTATGTTCTTTGGCTAATCCCTTCACCTTCTTTCATCCTGCCTCCCTTCTCGTCTCCCCTCTGACAGCTGTCAGTCTGTTCCATGTATCCATGCCTCTATTTCTATTTTGTTCCTCAGGCTATTTTGTTCATTAGATTCCACATATAAGTGAGATCATACGGTGTTTGTCTTCCATTCCACAGTGGCTATACCAGTCTGCATTCCCACCAGCAGTGCACTGGGATTCTAATTTGTCCGCATCCTCACCAGCACTTGTTTGTTGATTTATTGATGGTGTGACTTTACTTCTGGGCTTTCTGTGCTGTTCCATTGACCTATATACCTGTTCTTATGCCAGTACCAGGCTGTTTTGATAACTATGGCTTTGTAGTATAGTTGTGATACCTCCAAATTTGGTCTTTCTCAAGATTGCTGAGGCTATTCAGGGTGTTTATTTAGCTTCAGGAGGTTGGAAAGACTGTAGGATTTTAAGAACGTTCTCTATTTGCTGAGCTTTTCAAATGTTAACTGGATTGTACTCTTAATAAGCCTTTCATCTCAGAGCTATGAAAGTAAAAATTGGTGTTCAAGCAGAGAAAAATCAAAGAGCAATAAATAAAATGTTTAACAAATAGGCCTTTCCACTAGATCAGAAGTCTACTGTATCTACTATTATAGCTCTTCCTATAAATTACAGGAGCAACTATGGAGTTTTCAGTAACAAATTGGTTCCTGTTAAAGAATTTCTCTTTACTAATTCAGCTTTATTTAAATCCAAACATATCCAAAGTATCTTAAATGTTTCCCCTATGTGGTTGACCACCTTTGTGTATGTACATGTGTGTGCTTAGTGCATTGACTAGATGGTGTTAGAAGCACAGCTGATGGAGGGGAGACAGTGTGTGTAGATCCCATGCTAGGGAGCTGAGGGGCACTCACCTTGGTTTACCAAGTAGGGGGGTCCACCTGAGAGGAAAGGGCTCTCCTTTCTATAATAGAGACATTCTGCCTCCAGCCGGACTCAGAGAGCTTTTATTCCTCCAGCCTCATAAATGCAGCCAACAAGATTGCCCTGAGACCGCACGATGCATGTTTGTGCTTTCTGTCTGGCTTGAAGAGATGGGCTCATTTGGCTATCGTTACCCAGGTACAGAATTAATTCACTTGGCCAAACCGTTCTGATAAAATGCCCATGCTGAAATGTACTAAGAGAGCAGTCATAGTGTTGAAATGTGCCCTCAAAGGGCAGGACATGTTTTAGAAAATATAAAATCTTTTAAGGCAGGTGTAAGCAGGTGAGTAATAAAAACCCATTTGCATTTATCAGACCTGTTTGCACACTTCACATGACAAGCATCGTGCACGACACTGGAAATGTTGGGGTGGGTCAGGCTCAGACTTAAAAGTGCCCCCCTTCCCATGGCCATGTTTGTCATGTCTATGACCTTCGAGGAACTGCAAGTCAGGGGTGAGCACCCTATGTTTATAGGAAACACACGGCCTTTATTCATTCCCTTCTGTTGCAATAGCTGGCGTTAAAATGGCCGCACACATAGGTGAGTGTATTTCGTTATATCTGCATCCAGCCAGAGCTTTGGATGTCTGAAGTCACACCGTGCGTCTTGGCAGCCCGGGCTCCAGGGCCCCCTGTGGCCTCCTGCGCCTTCCTCTCTTCTGCTTCAGGTTCCCGGCACCAGCCTGAGGTCCGCCCTCCCTCCTATTCCAACAAGCCCTTAGCAGTCTCAGCCCAGGGGCCCGATGGCCAGCATGGGGACCCCCTGGCTCTGCGCCCTTTTCCAGAGGCACCTTGGAAACAGCCCAGCACCACCCTGCTCGCCAGGCTTCTCTCCTCTTCCGACCTGAAGGACACCCTTCCCTGAGGTGACAGCCCACCCCCGTGTCCCCGCAGGCAGTGGAGAACCAGCAGCTGTTCAGCGCGCTGAAGGCCTTGCTGGAGGACCTGCGCTCCGAGCTGCGGGAGGACGAGTGCGCCCGGCTGCGGCTGCAGCAGCAGTACGCCAGCGACAAGGCGGCCTGGGACGTGGAGTGGGCCATGCTCAAGTGCCGCCTGGAGCAGGTACCTGCCCCCGTCTCCCCCGGGACAGGTAGGGAGGAGGCACCAGTGACCACAGTGACCCTCGTCTGAGGGCAAGAGGGCTGCGAGGAGACCAGGGGGCAGCCACCTGCTGTCTCTTCCTCAAGTTCCCCACCATCCCAAGCATCTTCTTTCCCCCATATCCCCTCTCCCACGTATGAATCACGGTCGGCATTTCCAAAGCAGTGTTTACTTTCTCACTCCACACTGGGCAAGGTAGTGTTTAGCCCCATCAGAGGCCCGCCAGCATCAGGTGGTGCTCAGAACGCACTGACATGATTCAGACAGGAGCTCAGGAAAAGCGGACCGTAGTTCAGTTACCTCTGAAAAAGGCAAACACGTGCTTTCCTTTAGATTTCTCCAAATACCTGCTAGAAAGAGCTGTAGACCTTCCACTTCACACCCTAGAGGTGAGTCTAATCAGGTTCGGTGGCCTGATTTACACAAGAGGACATGGGGGGCCCAGTACAGTGGCTGGTCTCGGGTCACAGAGACCGTGCTCACGTGGAGAGGAGAGTGGGCTCCTGCACCCACTCTTCCCACAGAGCAGAGCCTTCTGGGAGGGTTTAGGCATGGCAGGGTTATTAGCATCAGACTTAGCCAGAAACATTCTTTTCTACATTTTCAGAAACATTTTCTCCCTGGAGTTCCTAAACGCACAGCCACTCCCTGCAGCCCTTTGATCATGATGAGGGGGAAAGGTCTGCATCTTTGATAATCTATTTTCTAGGCCTTATTTTGAGGCAAACCATAAAATTATTAAAATTCATATGAATTGCGCACACACACCCACACTAGCACAGAAAGGAGATATATTCCAAATGGCCTTAATAAAATATGACAGGACCAGTCATGTCAAAAGAAAACAGCTCTCGCCCTTCCTGGGGTGGCTCGGTTGGTTGAGTGTTGTCTCATGCACTGAAAGGTCACTGGTTCGGTTTCCAGTTAGGGCACATACCCAGGTTGTGGGTTTGATCCCTGGCTGGAGGGCTGGAAGGAGGTAGCCAATCCATGTTTCTCTCTCACATGTTTCTCTCTCCTCCCTCTTCCTCCCTTCTCTCCAACAAAATCAATATAAACATTTTTAAAAAAAAAAAAAACAAAGGAAACAGCTCCTTTGGTACCCACAGTTGACCTGCATTGCCTGGCACAGGGGAGCAGCGGTGTCAGGCTCCCTGGGAAAAGCAAAGATACAAAGTTTTCTGCAGAGGAAGCTGCAAAGCACAGGAAAATCAAAGTGCCAGGCCAGGCTGGTCAGATGACGGAGCCGCTGACCCAGTTACTAATCCTGCCCACTGCCTGGTAGCAGACTCTTACTAGATGCTCTGTTTATGTTAGGACACAGCCTGAACAGTCAGCAGTGAAGGAAGAATGAGTGAAAACACTTTTTGATGAGCTGCCTTTAAGCCTACTTAAAAATATGTTTATAGGAGAAAAAAACTAAATATTTTCAAAGACATTGAGTGTAGCTGACGAAAGGAGGCATACGTAGTCTTTGATGCAAACCAGTTTCAAAACATTTCATCTTTGTTTTAGAGAAACCTTGTATCCACCCACGTGTGTGCCACAAATAAAGCCTCAGGGAGAGTCATTAAACACAGTGAAATAATGCTAGGACTTCAAACCTAAAAAGCAGGTGGTAATAGGCAAGATTCACCGTCTGCCCAAATCGTTTAAGATGTTTTTTAAACATTTGCAGCCCAGGAAGCAATGAATGTGGGTGGATGCTGGTTCATATGTAACAGTCCTATGGTTACCCTCTTCTACTTAAAAGCAAAAATGGGTGAAATCTACCAAAACTTAAGTATTTTTTCCTCAATGAAGGCCATGTTGTATCAGTTCCCAAATCTGTGATTTCTTCCATTGACTCCTAAGTCAGACTTTATTCTAAATGCCAAGGTGCCAGCAACAAATCAGATATTTCTTGACTGCGTTCACAATGCATTGGGAGACACAGAGAAGTGCCCCACTAGGCCTGTACACAGTGCTGTCTGAAGTGGGGGTGTGCAGGGCACACACCCCAGCTTAAGGGTTTAGGGAAGTCCTGCTTAGAATGAATTGCGGAGGATGAGTAGAATGAGTACATGGAAAAGGAGAGAAAGGATATATCAGAATAGGAATAGCATGAAGAAGGGAGCTTGCCACATCTGCAGAACTGCACCTCGTTAGGTGTGAGACAAAGAACTTTCACAGAATTAAAATGATAGCCTTGATTTTCATCGTGGAATTAAAGCATTTTGATTTTTAAAATATTTTTATTAATTTCAGAGAGGGAGGAAGAGGAAGAAGGAGAGGAGAGAGATAGAAACATCAATGATGAGAGAGAATCATTGATCGGCTGCCTCCTGCACACCCCACACTGGGGATCGAGCCCTCAACTCAGGCATGTGATCTGACTGGGAATCGAACTAGCGACCTCCTGATGCATGGGATGACACTCAACCAACTGAGCCACACTGTCTGGGCTCCTCTATCATTTCTTGAAGTCTACTAACAATGGTTTTTTTCCCTTCAATTTTTATTTATTCAAAAATGTTTGTTTTCTTTTATTTTTGAAAGATGTTACCACTTTCCCCCTTTAAAGATGTCACTCCATTGCCCTCTGACTTAAATAGTTTCTGAAGAGAGGTCTGTTGTGATTCATATATGTCATCCTCAGTGTGTGTGTGTGTGTGTGTGTGTGTGTGTGTATGCATGTGTCTCTTTTCTCTGCCTCCATAGTTTCCTCTTTAGTTTTCAGTAGTTTGGATATGATATGCCTAGATGGGAGTGCTTTTGGTCATGTGTTTCATTTTAGTATTTAACCTCCTGAGTGTTGAACAATTATGTATTGTAGATGCCTAGGTTCCATCACTAGGTTTCATGTAGGGGCTAAGAATATAGGGCAGACATGTACTTGTCTTCAAGGAGCTCTATAGAAGGACAGGCAAGAGATGGTGGTGACTCAGTAGGGATGTAGAGCTGAGAGCACTGACATTCTGTGTGACTCTATGTTTCTAATTAGGACTTTAAACATGAAAATGGTTTCTTCCATGGGATTGGTCAAACCTTGGTTTAAACACGTTTCCAGGCATAATACATTAATGACCTGAGATTTTTTCGCCTACCAATGTGAGACTTGGCAGGGACTACGTTCCTTAGTTCTCTTCTCCTTGACAGCTGGAAGAGAAGACAGAGAAAAGCTTGGGAGAACCAGGCTCCGCCACTGACAGCAAAGGGGCATTCAGGAAGGAGAGGGAGACACACCAGAAGCTCCTCGCTGACAGCCACGGCCTGGTCATGGACCTGCGCTGGCAGATCCATCACAGCGAGAAGAACTGGAACCGTGAGAAGGTGGAACTCCTCGACCGCCTGGACAGGGATCGGCAGGAGTGGGAGCGGCAAAGGAAGGAACTCTTGTGGAAAATAGAACAGGTAAGGAAGCTCCCAGACACCAGAGAACAGGGAAGAGAGTGGAGAGAGCTAAAGTGGCTTGGAAATCCGAGCATGTAGAGGGAACAACCATCAGGCTGCTCAGAGGTCCTTAGTACATTAGGATGTTTCATGGGCTTCCAAAGGGAGAGGAAGAAAAGAAAAAGTAGAATTTTTAGTATTGGAAACCTGGGTTCAGCCATTACACAGATCTCTTCATTGCAAAGTTTGTAGGTAACTTCCATGCGTGTGTGGTGTGTGTGTGTGTGTGTGTGTGTGTGTGTGTGTGTGTGTGTGTGTGTTCCGGGGGTGGAAGTAACTTTTTAAAGGAATTTAAAGACTTAACCTGGAACATGAGGTTTTTCTCAGGTCTTATAAAGTGATTTCTGCCAAAAAGCAAATTAACTTTTAAGTTTCCCATTCAAGGTCTGGTCACAGTGACTGCTCCAGCTTAAATGGAATTATTGTCCATTAGTAAAGAAATTGCTGAAGTAATTGGAAGTCAGGCTGTTTGCACCTGCTGTGGACATTACTGAGCTATAATTATGTAGGACCATCGTCAGGGGAGGTAGCTGGTAGCTCATTGTCTTCAGCTAAACAAATGAGTCAGAAACTCAGATGAATTCTGAGAGGGAGAGAGGGAGTTGTTTTTCTACTGCCCAGATCATTATTCTCTGCATTGCATCAGACTTAGGACAGTTTGTGTAGTTGCAGTTGTGCCTACGTGATGCACAGATTACATTTTTGCATTAAAATGATGAAGGTTTGGAATTCCTCCCTGGCTGGATTTTTACATAGCATACATTTCATTTCAGCTTTCATACTTACAAATTCATGAGGCCTCAAGGAAATGCATTCATCAATAAGAAACTGAGTTCAGGAAAAATAACCTCATTATTCTATTACAAATACCCATACTGCCTGCATTTATATGAGGTCCTTTTTAAAAAATGTGCTCCATTATCCCCAGACATATGGTACCTGTGTTTTGCAGGTGCAGTAGCAAAGGTTAGTTTCTGCATACTGTATGGGAGGGAGGCAGGGAAGGAGGGAAGGAGGGAGGGAGGGAGGGAGGGAGGAAGGAATGAACTGGAAAAAAACTGGAGCCTTTGGCTCAAAAATCCTTGAGGAGAAGGAAGTGCACTGCAGATAAAAAGGAGCTGAAGTTTCTCTGAGCCTGGATTACTCACAACTGAGTCACCCTACTGATATTTGATATGGTTCATTTAAAAATTCTACCAAAGGAAAGTTGGCCACTTCCTGTTCGGCCTAGAAATGCCAGCACTTGAGGAGAATCTTCTGATTTAAATCCCCTGTGCGTTTGTGCTCTGCTGAGTGCATCAGTTGTTCAGTGGAAATTGTAGGAGCCAAGCGGCATGTGTTCATAAGAATGGTCACAGGTTCACTCTATCCAACTGCAGCTGGCCAGTATCCCAGTAACTCTAGGCACCTTGTTACCAGGGAAGTTCCCTCTGGGCCTTCCCTCCAGGATCTCTCACTGTGTCTGTCCCTCCTGTACCCCAGCAAGGCCATCCCCATCCCTGCCCTTCGGGGTCCCCTTAGCCTGCTAGCCGTGGGCTTGTTGGTCTTCTATGGCTTCATTTTGGATGTGACACCTTGGATATAAATTAAGCAAGTCTTTGGGTTTGTTATTTTTTTACTTTTGGGAATGAGGAATTTTTAGTAAAGGAAAAATTGGCAAAACATTTGATGATACTCAGCTTTCAAATAGTTAATGACTGAGGGATAAGCATTCTCCTTATTACTAGACTATATTTTGGAAAGAGAAAGGGGGATAGGAGCTGAACCCCATGTCCAGATTGTCAACACCGCAACAGTTCTACCAAGCTGACAGCCCCAGAGCGTCAGTCCTCAAGGCTGACATCTTTGAGCATAATAGGTTCCGGGCATTCATCTGTTTCTGAAATCTCTGTGTGTGGTGGATCCCACAGGCTTCGTACAATGACTTAACTGCTGTTTTTAGAAGAGGGTTTGTTGCCAGTGAATGGTGCTTCAGATATGCAATTGTGGCTTTCAAAAATAAATCTGGCCTTTCCCCCCCAAATATTAGAGATTTTAAAAGAAAATTTTATAAATGTTGGTGCCCAATCCTGAAAATTAGGTAAAGGCATTCTCTGTGTAAGAGGAAATTGGCTGAAGTGTGAATGTGTGTGTATAGATTTTGTTTATCAGTAACTGGATTGCTCACTCATTTAACTTTTAGCTACACATTTCACAGATAAACAAGAATGAACATTCCTCATAGTGTGTGCTCTTGATATTTGACTACATGGTGAACCATATAACCTTGACTAGGATAATCTAATACAGATGGTAAAAGAAGGAACACTAAATCCATTTTCCACTTACAGAACACATGCTTCATACTTGTCGGGTGTCATTGAATTCCTACATAATTATTGTGCCACACGAGGCATTTTACATGATGAATGACTGTGGGAGTGTGGGTACGGTCATATAACACCTATCATCTATCTTATCACACATCCTGTCTCAAGTCCGCACTTGATTGGGTGATAGTTAACTTTTATGGCGTCACACTGCATTTCTCCTTAAAATTGTTAAGTTCCCAATTAACATGCTGATAGTAGCTCTAAAGAGCTAAAAGGAAGTTCATTCTCCTCCCAGTAACCTCCGTAAATCAGTTGCCTCTACATCATGAAAGACCTTTCTTTTAAAACCTGTTCATTCCTGGCTGGTGTGGTTTAGTGGTTGAGTGTCAACGTATGAACCAGGAGCTCATGGTCGATTCCTGGTCAGGACACATGTCCAGGTTGCAGGCTCAATCCCCAGTAGGGGGCGTGCAAGAGGCAGCTGATCAGTGATTCTTATCACTGATTGATGCATCTCTCCCTCTCCCTTTCTCTCTGAAATCAATAAAAAAATATTTTAAAAATATTAGAAAAAGAAAATACATGATCTTCACTTTGGGCTTTGTCATTTTACAATATCCTTTGTGCAGTATTTTAACTTCCCTCAGCTTTCCTTTTTC